TGCTGGAAGCCACGTTCAGATCACTGGGTTGGCTTGACAGCATGGCAGGTTCATGTGCATGAAGATCCAAGATCCTGGTGAGCTGGAAGGCTGGGGAAAGAGGATGGCAGTGTATGAGAACCTGTCAAAAATGCTTCTCTCTTTTGTATGTGTACATATACTATTATGAATAAAATAAATGAGCTTTAAAAACATGTATAAAAAGGGGTGGTAAGACCCGTCAGGTTTTCCCGTTCTAAATCAGTGCTCACGACCACTGTATGCAGCCTACTACACAAAAGAAGGAGAGTCCTTGTCCAAGAAAAAATCAAGCAGGGCCTAAAGCAAGTCATGCTCTTTTGTTACAACTGTCAAGAGCAGGGAATTGATCGCTTTTTCAATCTAGTCCTTTTTATCATACAGACAGAACCATTGCATGAGAAGCCTAGATTTCTATGCCAATTTCACCCCAGACAACTCAGTGGGTGTGGCAAGATGCCAAAGTTCTCTGGAAATCCATCATCCCCTAAGAGGATTTTCAGGTGTACAGTGCCTCTGAGAGAGGATGTGATACTTATTTCTTTTATGAATCCAGCCTGAGAACAGAGTCTAGCACATAATAGTTGTTCAGTAAACATCTAAATGAACTAAACATCAGGGTAGGGAGTCAAGAGGAAACAGACCCCTGGGCACGAGTCCCTATTTCTATACTCTACTGAGATTCCTCAGAAATTTATTTCTATTTCTTAGGGTCTCAGTTTTTCTAGCTTTAAAACGAAGCCCACAACTGTCACCTGCTTCAGAGGTGGTCAAAGAGGTAACCATCACAAATGAAAGCAGCAGTTTGGAAGAGCATATTTAGAAGTAAGGCAGTAAAAATAACAAGACCCTGGAATTTGATAGAAAATGGTCATATATGGAGGATCTATTGCTGAGTGAAGTAAGCCAGGCTATGAAAGAAAGATATTGTATGTATCCACTCAATATATACCGACTATCCGCACTCTATGATAGAGAGCAAAAAATTGGACGACATAAAAGCAGTGAAGGTACTTAACGAGAATAGGACAGTGTGGAATGGGGGAAGTGAAGAGAAGAGGATCCTTTTGAAAAAACAATGTAATACACTGTAAAGTTATATGTAATCCAATGTAATATAAAGAAGATTATGATGATGATAAAAAAAAGAAGTAAGGCAGTAACTGTCAGTGTGACGAGTCAGACTGATCCCTACATTGATTTTTACACATTTAATTAGAAGCAACTTTTTAAAGATATGATTGTATGTAACATAAGGTACTGCTTATATTTAAGTATGTTTTGTATAGTTCATCAAGTTCTGACAAAAGTTTGTACTTGTGCTATCGCCTTCACAGTCAGTATAGGCCATTTCCATTGCCCCCAAATTTCCCTGTTCCCCTTCCCAGTCAATTCTCCACCCTGGCCCCAGGGGGCTGCTTTTTCTTTCTTTTTCTTCCTTCCTCTTTCTCCCTTCTAGTGATCCTCCTTCCTTCCTTTCTTTTTCTTTTTCTTTTTCTTTTTCTTTCTCCTTTTCTTTCTCTTTTTCTTTTTCTTCCTCCATTTCTTTTTCTAAACTTTTTTTAAAATTATTTATTCATCCATTTATTTTAATTTTAATTTTTAAAAATTTGACCAGAGAGAGACACAGAGAGAAAGAGGGATAGAGAGAGAAAGCACTCACCAGTGAGGCACGGTCACAACACAATCTCATCTCCTTCATTTGTATATCCTGTTGAAATTTTGGGGTATGCAGGTACACACACCTGGAGTGTTTTTCAAGATGTCACAGCAGGGATTTGAACTGTGGTAGGCCTTGAAGAATGCAGCTCCCTTAACCACTAGGCCATAGAGCCAGCTCCTGCTTTTTCTGTATTATATTTTTATCAAACACATTTTTCTCATAATAAAATAATACATGCTAATTATGGAGTTCAGAAAATATAAAAAGCATAATAACAAAGAAGGAAGTCTTAGGTAGCCACATTATCCAAAGATGGTCAGTATTATTGTTCATATGTATTTTCTTCCTATCTTCTCTCTGCGTGTGTGGGTGTGTGTGGGTGTGTAATAGTTTTGGAGTCATGGGCTATACATAGCTTCCTTGGCGGTTGCATATGTCTATGATGATTATGTATAAAATGCCAGAGACTTATTGCTTTTCCTTGACTAATGGCACCAAGTTACACATAGTAGTATCCTGGGTTGCTATTAAGAATAGATCTTTGAGGGCCAGCGAGTAATGTGGAGGGAAAGGTGCTGGATCCCATGTGACTGACTGAGCAGTTTAAGTCCCAAATCTGGCAGCTTGAAAATCATATTGGGTACATATGTATGTCCAAGATCCTGAGAGGGGAATGGGGGAAAAGAGATCGTGTGTGGCCACCCACCCTCCACGAGAGGGTGATTTCTCATTCTCCCTCTCTCTCTCTCTCTCTCTCTGGCGAGCATATATGCTCCATAGCAACACTAAAAAATAAAAAAATAATCTTTTCTCATTATATTTTTTGTTAGTTTTTGATGTTAAAAAGAATAACATTGAGTTTTTGCCTAGTGTATTTAGTTTGTATTCACTGACCTTCTTGAATTCTGTTCCTCCTATAGGTTTTTTAAAAAACATTTTCTTGGATAGTCTGCATGTGGAGTAAAATGTTCTGTGAATAATAGTCAGTTATCTTTTGTTTTCTGATTTTTTATGCTGATTTATTCCGTTTTTTAAAAAGTGCTAGAAGGTGCATTTGCTCACCAAAAAGCAGGAGGAAGAGAAAGAAAGAGAGAGAGGACATTAACCATGGGGGTTACACACATTGCTATTCCTTCTCCTCCACCCTGTTGGAATTTTTGATATGCGTACACATGGGCCCAGCTTGTTTCTCAGACCGTAGGGTCCAAGACTTGAACTGTTTAGTCAGTTATAAGTGATCTAGCTGCCTTAACCACCACATCACCTCCTGGCCCTGTTTATTTATTATTATTGAACTGGCTAAGATTCACAATGAAAAGTAAGGTAGAATGATAACAGTAGTGATCCTTATCTTTTGATTTTTTTATATACATGTTTTTGTCTTTCCTCAGAAAATATGATACTGTCCTAGATTTTTCAGTAAATACCTCTGTTGGCCCTGCATCTGAACATGTTAAAGAAGGAAGTCTTGATATGCTATAGCTTTTAAATGTTCATGTCCCTATTAATTCACTTTCATGAAATTTCTGAGAAATTGAAAATAAAAACACAGGTCCTTCACTCATGATAATTGAAGAAGCACCGATTAGGTGGGGTAGAAAGTGGGTAGTTAGTGGGTCAGTAGACAAAATTAGGGAAACTCAATGAGGGGTAGCCTTAAGGAAGGCTCTCAAAACCTTTGGTGGTTTATAGAATGAGCAAGAGCTGGGCAAATGGAGAGGACAAATGGTGAGACCTCTCCTGCAGAGATGAGGGGATACTCACACTTGGCGTAGACATGTTTGCAGGCTGCTGTGGTGTATATATATATTCTGCTGCAAGCACTGTGCTAGGTACAAACGGAAGTTGTGGCTTTGAGGGCGGAGCTCTGTTAAGGGAGTAAAGGCCCTGGGCTCTGATGTAGCTCTGCAAAAATCTCCCGGTGTGTGACCAGGAAGGTCATTTTACTGGACTTTAACAACCATGGGGGTAGAGACTGTCTCTGGTGAACGATGCCTTTCTCAAGTCTGGCATGGCATGTTCCCAGTAAAATTTTTGGTGTATGAGTGGATGGATGGTTTTCGACTTTAATACCTAAAAAAGAGGAGGCTAGATAAGATTAGTGTTTGTTCGTTTGTTGGTTTAAAGAGATTTTTACTACAGAATGTGCATGCTTGCTGGAGAGACAGAAAGTGAGAAATCACCCCCTCGGGGATGGAGGGGGGATGGCCATGTCACACCCTCTTCTCTTCCATTCTTCTTTCAAGATTTTGGGCATGCATGCACACATAACTGGCATGAGTTTTAAGCTACCGGATTTGAGATTCAAACCATGATCGACTCCATGGGAGTCCATTGACGTAACCATTATGTCATCTGCTGGTCTCAAGATTAGTGAGTTTTGTACCATAGGATGAGGAACCTTACAAAGATGCATTGTGGTCCAACCTATAAACTCTAGCCTCTATCTTTGGGTTTCTGTAGAATTTCACTTAAGAAGGAATCCACTACTGTTTTTCAAAATTATTCTCTTCTAGGTCTGAATGTTTTTAATTCTAAGTGAATAAGAGTGCTTAGTGGCCATTAACTTAACCAATCTGGCCACACAAAAATAAATGCAGAAGATCTAAAACTATGTTAGAATACTAGTGTTGGTGGGACCTAGTTCACTTGTATAGCTCTTAATGTGAAGCTCATAAGTGAGCTTCCTTTTTCAAAAGGAAGACTCATTATCTCCTAAAAGTATATGAAAAATGTTACATGTCATTGTGTATCAGTCGAGAGTTCTGTGGTTGTACATAACCGACATGTATGCAGTGACTGACACAAAGAATACTACCTGGAGGAGTCTAGCCATTACAGTGGCTTAAATAAACAAACAGTTTATCCTTCTCATGTAAAAAGAAGTCTAGAAGCAAGCTGCTCAAGGTCATTTATGAAGTCATCAAGATCCAGGCTTCTACTGTATGAATTTTGGTCAAATGATCCCAAGACAATGGCTTCATCTCCAGACATTGCAACTACTTTCTGCCAAGGAGGAAAGGAGAAAGTCACAAGTGAGGGCTGCTGAGTCTGTTCCTTTCCCTTGGGAGTCATAGCCTTTCCACAAGCCCTACTTAGTAGACTTCTACCTTTGTCTCATTGGGAAGAACTACATGTGTGACCAACTTGTCCTGCAAGAAGTAGCAGAAAAATCTGATTTTATGGCTGAGTGGTTAAAACTGGAATTCTGTTAATAAGGAAAAGGGGGAAATGGATATGTACAATATGCATGGCAAATACTAACTTTCCATTTCAGGAGCAGCAGACACTATTGGAAGGACTATATCCACCTCCTGTCATGCCTCTGTTGACACCTTTCCGGTGCAGATGTAAGCTGGGACGAAAGGAAGCAGTAGAAGGTTCTTCACAGCTCCCCCAACAAAACTATGAGGCCCTGCGTGAAAGGTGCCTAAGGGAAGGCTCCCTCTTCGAGGACAGCAGCTTCCCAGCCACCCGGTCCTCCATTGGCAGTGGGCCCCTGCTCAAGAAACTGCCACCACATCTGCAGTGGAAGAGACCCACAGTAAGGACCTGGGAAAGGGCCTCTGAATAATACACACAAAATATGTCAACCAGGGCTTTAGAAAACCCAAACTAAGATATATAGGGGAGAAAAAAGAAAGTGTTTTTTTGTTTGTTTGTTTGTTTTTTTAGAGAGAGATTTTTGAGATAGGGTGTGTGTGCTGCTGGAGAGATGGATACAGAGAGACAGAAAGTGAGAAATCACCCCCTCAGGGGGGATGGTCACACTGTAATCCCTTCTCCTCCATTCTCCTCTCAGGATTTTGGGCATGCACACACACACATGCCTGGCTTAAGTTTTAGACCACTGAGTCCAGGACTTGAACCACAGTTGACTACATGGGTGTCCAGCAATGTGACCATTATGCCAACTGCTGGTACCTTTCCATGAACTTTTAAAGTACCTTGTATATATTTCACATTATCACACCAGGGATCTCCCTGAGAAGGAAATTGGGTAAATTCACACATTTCCATTTTCCAGATGGAGAAAGCCAGGGGTGATCCTGAGAGGGCGTAAGATATAATTCTCTCAGGTCCTGCCTAGAAATACATAGAGCTGCTATATAGTGCCCCCCCCACCCCCCCGCAATATCAAGCTGCTGTTTAACCTCTTCATCAATGACAAGGCATGCTGGGTCACAGCCAATACCATTTGGTGGAAAGGACCATTTTAACAAATCTCCAACCCCTTTCTCCAAAATCAGGTTCATGAAGTATGAAAATAAGGAAGCGTTTAAATACTTTATAGAAGCATTCTTCACTTTATAAAATGCATCAAAATTCCTTTAAAAGGCAACTTCTTAATGTGTTCAAATGTAATCTATCTCTCCCAAACTTTATTATACACCAGATTTCAGAAATGCTGTGACTGAACAGGGTAAAGTCAATCCGGGTAACAGATTCTTCTTTTTTTCTGTTCCCCATTCAGCCATCACCATCAATGTCTATAGCCTTAGACTCAGAAAGCCCTACTTTGTGCAAAAATCCTAAGTGAGCCTTCTAAACTATGGCAGCCAGGACTCTACTTCTCCCTAAAAATCTTGGCAACTGCTGAAAGAGACTCTGTCCCACACCTGAATGTTAGGGGAATGGACCCTGTGTCCATGCAAAGACTGAGGGATTAAATGCTTGCCCCAGAGCTGAGACTATCTTCTTCTTACTCCCCCTCCCCAGTCCTTATCTCAGCATGAAAAACAAAGCAAAACAAAACAAAACAAAACAAAACAAAGCAAAATGAAACACCCCATTATATTAGGGCTTGGGGGGAGAAAGAGGAATAAAGGCAGAATAAAGAGAATGAAAAGACCTTGAGGAAAAATGAGAAAACTCCCTCTAAAAGATGCTTCCATTTTTAGTAGAAATCCTACGAAAAGTTATTTTTGGTTTGAGAGCTATTTCTTCATATCTGCACAGGACTCTGACTTAGGTGAGGTGTAAGAAGGAATAAGAAGGACAGTGGACAGAATCCATGTCCTGAATTTCATGGTATATCCCTGACTTCGCATGTATTCTACATCTTTGTCCTGTTAAGTCCAGTTTTGGTATATGAGAAGACATGGTCACTGTAGCTCCAGGAAGTAATGACAGTTTCTTCTGTCCCCTCAGGAGCTGCACAGCAACCCCCAGTTCTATTCTACCCAGGCCAAAAGGCTGGATCTGTGCCAGGGAGTGGTAGGTAAGTATGCACAGTGCCTAGAGACACACACCAGGGTATTCAGAACCTGACCTGGACAAGAGCAGGTGGAGCGATAAAAAGAGGAATCCAGAGAGCCCAACTTGGCTACAAAGGGTAACTCAGCAGCAAACCCTGAATTCTACCTTGAGATGCTTTGTTCTTTGCTGGGAATTTTATAAAACCTGGTCCTTGGAGGTTGTGGAAGGTGCTTCACTTTGCCTAAGCCCCCAGATAGTCCTCAATACCAAATGACAAGTCTAAATTTTGTTTTGGGAAAACACGCTTATTCTATATTAGTCTTTATAATAAATTCTTCTCCAATCACCAGTTATTAGACTGCTCAGAATAAAGTCTAATTATCACGTCCTCAATGCAATTTTTTTTCCAGAGTAAATGGAAACCATCATTGGCTAGAAAAAGGTTAGCATAAGCATAGTGATGTCTATTTCACAGACAGGGAAATGAGGCCATAAAGGGGTAAGGCTTTACAAGAAGAACATAAATCTACAGAGGCAGGATTTAGTAAAAGTTGGTTGTGTTGTGTCCAGATTTCCAAGGATGGGGTATTCAGGAAGCTAAAAGCTGGTCCAGGAATATACTACTTTTGGAATCAAGGTTGGATTCCAGCCAATGTTTTCTACCCTCTGCTTTGCCCCATCCTCCTCCTCAATATATAATTCTGTTCTCTTAAACTAGCCTATAAGCCCAGAGAGGATAGTCTCTCCCAATAACTGAAGCCAAGCATTTCCTGCATACAAGAAAAAAAATCTTCAGTACATTCATGTAGACACATAGATTCATGCAGATGCCATGTGCTGTCTGATTTAGGAGACTGCTGGTTCTTGGCTGCTTTGCAAGCTCTGACCTTACACCAGGACATTCTGAAACGGGTCGTTCCCCTGAATCAGAGTTTCACTGAGAAGTATGCTGGCATCTTCCAGTTTTGGGTGAGTGTCCTGATGTCTCAGCTGAAAAGGGGCCATAGGAGAGAGGGCTCTTGGAGGCACTATATCTTTGCCTCCTGGACTGAATTCCTTCCATGACAGTCCTTACTCACAAGCAGTCACTCTCTTCTTCTAGTTCTGGCATTTTGGGAAATGGGTTCCAGTGGTGGTAGACGATCGCCTGCCTGTGAATGAGGCTGGCCAACTGGTCTTTGTCTCCTCTACCTACAAGAACTTGTTCTGGGGAGCTCTTCTGGAAAAGGCCTATGCCAAGTAAGACAACCACCAGGAATCTTCCCCTTCCCTTCTCTGCTTTTTGTCTCTCTTGCAATGTTGACTGAGGGAAGTGGAATCGGGTGAAATTTATGAAGTGAGATAGTGAGGCACATCTTAGTCAACACAGAATTGACAACATATTCAGGGTCTTTTATATAGGAGTCACCCCATCTGAACAAGCATTCAGGAATTTTGCCTTTCCTTATTAGATAGAGTTATTTAGGGGGCGGGGGACAGGAATGCTGAGCGTTTACTTACTTTGCTCCTGGGATGAAGGAAGCAATAGCAAACATAAGCTCAAAGAATAACCAAGCAGAGGGTTCACCATTCATTGGGATCATCCCATCTACAGTCTAAATGCCCTTCCCTTCTTTTTTCATGTCTACTCTTTCTCTCGGCAGGCTTTCTGGTTCCTATGAAGACTTGCAGATTGGACAGGTATCTGATGCCCTTGTGGACTTCACTGGAGGGGTGACAATGACCATTAACCTGGAAGAAGCCCCTAGCAATCTCTGGGATCTCCTTGCCCAAGCCACCTACAGAAGAACCCTCATTGGCTGCCAAACCCATCCTCAGGTGAGACAGGGCTAGGCATTGGCACACTGTTCTCTACATTCCCACTCCCTTTATCCACTAGCTACTGCTCTCACCTGTGTGTGGTCCCAGAACCTCCACCCAACTCCTGCACCTGGAGTCTTGATGTTCAAACCATAGTAGCTGGGCTGGGTTCTCAAGGAAGGCAAGGCAGCAGGAGAATAAAGATGGTATACAGAGAAGGAAGCTAACAGTTACTTTATTTTATTTTTTTTAAAATATGAATTGATTGATTTGATTGATTGAGAGAGAGAAACCTACAGCATGGTCTTCATGTCACAATCCTCCCCCGGCCTTCGCCAGCCCAGATTACGGGCATGTACCTCTACACCTGGCATGGACAGAAAGGCCCTGGGAAGCAGACCTAGGAGGCTCTCATGTAGGTTCCATTGTGTTACCACTGCACCACTATCTGGCTCTGGGAGTTAACAACTAAGTATTACCTACCTGTAAGGCACTTTACACATCCAATTTGAGTAAAAACCAGGAACACTAAACCAGAATAGGAAGCCCTTGGTTCAGGTCTCCACTAATGACCATCTGTGTCACTACACACTGACTTAGCATTTTTTTAAGAGGTTTTGCCTTAGGGCACATGCACTCATGGGGGTGGGAGGGGGAGAGAGAAAAAGAGAGAGACAGAGACAGTGAGAGGAAAAGTGAGAAATCACCTCCTAGTGGGGATGACCATGCTGCTATCCCTTCTCCTCAATTCTTCTCCCCTGGATCTTGGGCATGGATGCACGCACGCCCAGCATGAATTTCAAGTTTCCAAGTCCAGGACTCAACTGTGGTCAACCATGTAGAAATCTAGCAATATAACAGCCATGTTCTGGTCCCTTCCTTAGCATTTTTAAATTTGATTTTGTCTTCTATAAAATAAATGGAGGCATGCAATATCTCAGGTAACACGGTTAGGTGGGAGGAAATTGGGGAATAAAAAACATTTGACAGGTATATGAATGAAAAATTATCTGCTGATGATAATGTATATGGTAATGTCTTTGACTGGATTGATATGTACTGTATGCTGAAAAAACATTTTGTACACTTTAAAGATAGACAGTGATTAAATGTAATTTTAAAAAGTATAAAATAGTTTAAAAAATAAACAGAAGCTATAATCACTGCAGAGTGTCCTAATGAGTTATTGAAAGTGTTGAATGAGAGAGACAATGGATGCCAAAGAGCTTTAAAAATCGTAACATATCACATTATAACTTTGTTCAACTTCTCTCTTGGTAAACCTCTGCTCTAGGTAGACATGTCTTCCTTGACTCCAAAAAAAGTTGTGCACATCAGAAGATTGACAAGGACCTCTCTTTTGTGTCTATAGGAGCAAAGAGTGCTGGAGAATGGACTAGTGAATGGGCATGCCTATACTCTCACAGGAATCTGGAAGGTGGGTTGAATTAGGCTCCTTATTTCCCTCTTAGCCTCCCCTTTCTCTCCCAGGACTTCTCATCAAGGCCTTGGCTTATCTTGGTGACATTAGTATCTGTGTCCAGTTTAGTGGTGGGTGAAGTCTTTGTTGGGGCATTATAGAGCCTCCCAAAGCAAGTGGGTGTTCTATTCCTCTGCACCTATCTCCTGGGATGAAGGGGTGCATTTAGCCTTTGCTAAACCCAATGCACCATCTTTAATTCTTTTCTCAAGGGGCATCCTTCTGCCAGTTGGCCACGAGCCCTGTTGTGCCTTGCAACCCTTTCTTGAGGTACTTCCTCCCCTTCACTCTGGACTGCCAATGATAGCCTTTATATCTGGGTCTTCCCTCCCAAATTCCTGCTTCTCTCTCATTTACTCCTTGGCAATAGTCGCCTAAGTCCCTCCAATTGCCATTTATCTACTAAACATTGAGAGGAGGATGGATCAGACAAGGACTCTGCCTACAAAGAGCTTTTAGTCAGGTGTAGAGACAAACCATATCTGAAAATGATAAAGAAGCAAAGTAGAAACTGAAAGAAGAAAGTATAGATGAAAGGCTGTAGGAGTTTCAAGGTAGGAGAGAAGAGATTCACCTAGTTAGTTTGGGAGAGAAATCAGAAAAGTCTTTACAGAGAAGGTGAAATGGTGACAGCCATAGGATTTTCCTATGAAGGATGGTAGATTTGTCTGAGGGGAGAAGGGCATTCTGGTGGAGGGAGCAGTATAAGCACAGAACAGAGGTAAAAAAAAAATCAGTAGGCTCAATCTTAAAGAATTCCTGACATTCTCTACAGAGTCCAAGTCCCTTTAAGTCCTCTCATTTCCTTTAACTCTATTTCAAATTTCTGGAATTCAATTTATGTTTAATTTCTCCTTCCTTCTAGATCTCCAACAAGTATACTTCTGTGCCAAGAACTTTTACGTTATTGTCATATTTATTTAACAAAGTGTATATAGCACTTACTATGTGCTAAATACTGTTCTGTGTTACAAATCGAAACTCACTCCATCTCATAAAGCTGCCATTGAGTAGGTGCATTAGTTTTCTAGGGTTGCCACAATAAATTGCCACAATCTAGGTGGCTTAAAACAACAGGAATTTATTTTCTTACAATTCTGAAGGCCAGAAGAATGAAACCACGGTGTCAGCAGGGCCACATTCCCTCTGAAGTTTCTAGCAAAGTCTTTGCTTCTTCCACTTTCTGGTTCTAAATGTTCCTTGACTTGGATCTATGCCTCTGTCTTCAGTGACCTTCCCACCCATGTCTTATCCCCGTCTCTTCTCTTATAATAGCATGTGTTTTTGGATTTAGGACTCCTTCTAAGCCAGGATGATCTCATTTCAAGATCATTAACTTCTTTACATTTGCAAGATCTTTTTTTTCAAAGTAAGGTCACATTCACAGATTCCAGGTGAACATATCCTTTGGGGGTCCGCCATTCAATCCATTACCATAGGTGTCATTATTTGCTTTATTCTACAGATCAGGAAAGTGAGACACAGACAGGTTAGGTAATTTATCCTGGGTCTCACAGCTAGTAAGTATGAGTCACAGAACAACTTTCTTCTCCAAATCTTTTTGGACCTTTTGTTTTCCACTGCAAACTCTCAGCTGCAGGCTTGACTCTCACTCAGATGTCTGGAATACTTGCACTCAGCCCAGCCTCCTAAACTGCTTCTCATTTTGTCTAGGTCACTTGCAAATATGGACCTGAATATCTGGTTAGACTCCGGAACCCCTGGGGCAAGGTAGAATGGAAAGGAGACTGGAGTGACAGGTGAATTTCTGGGACTGGGAGGGCTGAGAACAGGGGGAGTGAAGGTTGTCATCTGTACATAAATTTGAATATGTACTTCCTTTAGTCTCTGTCTGGACCAGGAAGCTTTGACTCTGAGGGTCAATCCCTCACCTTTATACTATAATGAAAGAGAAAGCAGTGTATATGCCACACATTCATTATAATAATTAAAGCTAATCTTTATCGAGGGCTCATCTGCACCATGCTAAGACTTTAGAATTATTATCTCATTGAATTCATCAACTAGTGCTATTGCAAGATAGATACTTTTATCCCCATTTTACTAATGGAAATGCTGATATTTAGATTAAATTAATTGTTTAAGGTCACACAGTATGGCTCAGCCAAGGTCTCTGGTGTCCTAGTCCAGTGTTTTTTCCCTGGAATGGCTCAGTGCATTGTTGAGCTTGTTGATTCAAAGGTAGGCAAATCTGGATTGGCTCCTATCCTATACCTTTAGTGACCTCTGGGCATTTTGATTAGATGACTACATTTAGGTTGTTTTGGCCTAAAGGCACCCCTAAAGGGATTATAGACTTGCTGTGGGGCCCAGGTAGAAAGGAAGGTGAGCTTCAAAAGTCTTTTTTTCCTATTGGGTCAGCAGGTGAGTGGTGGTTAAGGTGTTGTAGTTCTTTTAAGTGTTGGGAGATGGCCATTCTAACTACTGTTGAATGTCTCTGTTTTGGGAAGGTATAACAAGAAAATTAAAAAGAATATATGAAAGGAGAGACTGGTTATTTCCTCCTACATGGTATTAAAAAAAAAAAAAAAAGGCTGGATTCCACATGGCCAACTCCTAGGTTTGAGTCCTGGACCTGGTGGCTTTAAAATTTCCTGTGTGTGAAAATTACGCTGTGTGTGTGCGTGTATGTGTGTGTGTGTGCATGCCCAAAACCCTGAGAGACGAATGGAGGAGAAGGGATTGTGGCACGGCCATCCCCCCAGGGGGTGATTTTCTCTCTTTCTCTTTTGCAAGTACATGTACCCTATGGCAACAATCTGAAAAGTAAAAATAAAAATAAAGCCATTCTTTCTATCATTATAACAGTTTATAATACTTAGCTCTGTATCTGCATAATCGTTTGGAGTATATAATGGTGTGAAGAAAATCTTCCATTTTTCCCCTTGTGATGTCCAAATTTCCTTTTATGTCCTTGAGAATATGGAGCATATTTCTAATAGCTATTTTAAGGTGCTTATCTGCTACTTTTATCATCTCTCTCATTTCTAGGTAGGTTTATACTGACTATTTCTATTCTTGGTCATGGATCATTCTTCATATGGATAGTAATTTTTTTTATTGGATGCTAGAAGTTGTAAACTTTAGTTTCTGAGCATTGCAATTTTATTGCATTTCTGTAAGGAATGTTGGAATTTTCTGGCTGGTAGTTACATTGTTCAGGGATTCTTTTGGTACTTTGAAGTTTTTACATATTTTTAGGACAGGTCAAAAGAAACCTTTATTTCAGAGATAATTTGACTCCCCTACTAAGTTGTAGAGCCCTGGGATCTCTAGTGAAGTCACCGTGTATTCAATAAGGTCTTTTAATTCTGGCTGGAGGGAATTCCTATGATTCTCAACCCTGTGTGAGCTCTGGGAATTGTCCGGTCCTGTGGGGTTTGATTTTTAGGAGGTATGAGTTAGATTTCAGCCAAAGGAACTCAAGGGAATCCCTGAAATTTTCTGGGACTCCTTCTTTGTGTAGCTTCCTCCTCTAGATACTTTGCCTGGCAAATCCTAGTTGTTCTGGTCTCCCTGAACTTCACACTTTTCCTTCCCTACTCAGCAAGAGTGGTAGGTTCTTTCTGCAGTCCCTTCCCTGCTCCATTCTCCAGGAAGTCACTTGCAAAAAGAAAATCTAGATAATGTCAAAGCTTGCCTCATTGTTTCCCTCCTCTCAGGATCACAATCCTATGCTGCCTGCTGTCCAATGTCTGAAAATAGTTTCTCACATTTTATCTGATTTTTAGGTATTTTTTGGTACAGGACAGTCTTACTCCTTCATGGCCACCAATGGAAGTCAAAGTAATACCAGGCTCAAATGCTAACTCTGACATTTAGTTGAATTGTGACTTCAAGCAAGTGACTTCATCTCCCTTAACTTCAGTTTCCTAATCTCTAAAATGGGGATAAATATCCTTGTCTTTCAAAGTTGGTGTTAGTCTTAAATGAAATAAAGTATGTCTAGAACCTAGCCCTGTGCTTGGCTAAGTGATTGATTAATGTTACATGTTGCTTTCATATTACAGGAAGTAAGATTTAATTATCCACAAAGCAACATGGAACTAATAATAAATATCGATACTCTAACATTTACTAAACAATTTCTAGCATGTTCTCCACCATCTTTTAATTTCCACATGAAAACATTTTCTTTTTCCCTTTTCTGTTTTTAGTTCAAGTACATGGGAGTTGCTGAGTCCTAAGGAGAAGATTCTGCTCCTGAGGATAGAAAATGACGGGGAATTCTGGTATTTGACTCGGGGACCTGGGACAAATGCCCTGGCTTACACTTGAACATCCGTCCAGCAGACATGTGCTGGGTGCCTCATGTATGCAGGCATATCGTGCGCAGAGCTTAATAAGACACATTTCCTTTTGGAGCTCACAGTCCAACAAGACAAACAGCCCCTGTAAATAAATGGTCACAGTCTCTCTGATGTGAGCAGTGGCTGCTGGTATGGAGCTCAGCTGGTGCACAGAGCAGGGCTTCAGATGTGGCTGCCTCCTCCTCCTCTCAGGCTTCCATTCTGCTTTCTTGTCCATACACTCAACTCCAAGATTTTGCCTTTCCTGTCCTGAAAAGGAAATGAAGAAAAATGGACTACAAGGTCTTGCCAAATATTAAAATAAGTCCCCTGATCTGTGCCCTCCAGAGCACAATAACACCCTTTCCACCTACTCCAAAGCTACTTCCCTCTTTTAATGAAGGAACACCAGGACATGCTGAGTTGACACTGCTTCTAGATGTCTGATAGGAGACCTAGCTGTTCTGCTGGGTGGTTCATTCTCACTCTTAGTGTTAACTGATTAGAACTGATATGGGCAATTCTTCTTGAACATTTACAAATCAGTTGAGTAGAGATGAATGGTTCAGTTCAACTGTTATTGCTGCCATCTGCAAATGGGAATTTTGTCCTCAGCAGTTATCATAGGAAGCTACTTGTAGCCAGAGGGCGGGGCTATTTTGTAGCCAGCCTCCCCATGACCAACCCTCACACTGACCTGGGCAGTCCCACCCTCAGGTCCCATCTTCAAGGCCAGCTCAGCTCTGTACAAGAGCTTGGAGGAAAGGATCTTGGTCTGGAGGAGGGCTGGGTGGGTGCCCTGTTTAGTGTCCCCGTCCCATTGATCCTGATGACTAGGCACCATCTCATTCTTCTTTCTGTGCTATTCCCTCTTTCTCTCTGTAGGATGACACTGCAGGACTTTAAAACACATTTTGTGCTCCTGGTCATCTGTGAACTGACCCCAGGCTTGCTGAGCCACGAGGTGGGCCAGAAGTGGACATATACTGTGCAGGAGGGCCGATGGGAGAAGGGGTACACTGCAGGTGGCAGACTGCAGTCACCTCGAGGTAAGCATGTGCACAGAAGCCAGGGTGCTCTGAGTAGGGTGTGGTGGAGTCCCTGTGAGTCGTGGTGTGATTGATCTGCAACCTGCACCAGCATCTGGTTGAAGGGAAATGGTCTGCTCTCCAGCTGTGTGTTCTGGGCCTGGGCTGTATTCCCAGGGAAAAGTACCTTTGCTCCTAATTTGCACAGAGGAAGAATCTTCTCAGTCAAGCTGTCAGCCTTTGTGGCTCACATCTTTTCAGAGGCTATCTTTTCCCAGTCTGCACCAGGAGCCAAGGGTACGCAAGCACAGTGAAAGAGTGGTTGAACATTTCTCTAAGTCAAGCCACTAGTGACCTAAAGTAATCACCCCTATCAGGTGGGATTGAAATAGCAATTGGATCATAGTATCAGGCCCTCCCCATCCAGGACCCAAATCCAGAGATTCCCTATGATGGCTATAGGAGCCATCATATCTAAATGCTCAAGATGGACAGGTTTGGTGTCTGTGTCTGTCCCTCAATCATGGAGATTCTGAGCCATCTCTGTGGAAGTAAAGACCTGGGGGTGTAATCTCAGCAGGCAAGGTAACTTCTCCTTCTTCAGTATCTCCCCTGAGGGCCGGAACTATCTTTCCACTAAAGCTTTAAGCTGTCCTAATGCTAAGGTTTCATCCTATTGATAGCTCTGGGATTCTGACCTGTGACTTAAACTCATGCCTGGTACATGTGCGTGTGTGCTAAGATCCCAAGAGGAAAATGGAGGAGAAGGGATTGCAGCATGGCCATCCCTCCTGAGGAGTGATTTCTTGCTTTCTGCCTCTCTGTCTCTCTCTGTCTCTCCAGTGAGCACATGCCCCCTATAGCAAAAATCTCTCTCTCAAAAAAAGTTCTGGGATTATGGGTATGTTCTTCTTAGTGAGTTAACACAGTCACTTATTCAGGCAGCAGATGTTATGGGGTTTGATGTTTGGACTAAGAGTCAGTGTGTCTGCAGAAGAACCTGAGGTGGATGAGCAAGAGCAGGGAGCAGAGTGGTCAAAGGGCCCAACTCTATCCAGATAGAGCTCAAGGTGTGAGTCCTGCAGAGGTGACTGGCACCTCTAGGGGGCTTGGTGAGGAGATGGAAAGGGAGACAGGGGCTGTTCTCATCTTGTTGTGTTCTGCCCCAGACATTTTTTGGAAGAACCCTCAGTTCCTGCTGTCAGTCTGGAGGCCTGAGCAGGGCCAGAGGTCCCTGAAGCCCTGCAGTGTGCTGGTGTCTTTGCTCCAGAAGCCCAGGCACAGGCACCGCAACCGGAAGCCCCACCTCTCCATTGGCTTCTATCTCTTCAGGGTAGGTGGGCCTCCGGGACATGGGGACATGGGGGACATGGGAGACGTGGGGCATGTGGCCAAGCTTGGGAGTCTCCAACAGTTATCGCTTCTTTCTTTCTCCTGTCCTCTTCACCATTTGTCTCTTCTCACAGACTTGGTTTTAAATCCTGGCTTTCTCCCCAAGGAATATGTAATCTAGACCAAGTCACCTTCTCACACTCAAGCTTTAGTTTTTTTCATTTGTTAAATGGGAACAATGATATTTAATAAAGGGTAGACTAAAAGAAGATCCTGTGTTAGTACTTGTTATTGTTTCTGGCACATAGTTGACACAATCAAAATTGGTTCCCTTTTCCTCCCCTAAGAAGCCAAGCTTCACCCTTTTCCAGAATTTCCATGATGGAGTAAAATGTCACTGACAGAAAAGCAGGTCATTGTTGGGGGGAGAGCTCTGGGTAGAGTCTTGCATAACAGCTTTCATTAGGGTTGTGAAAGGGCTGGAATTCCTGCCTAATGAGACCTTTGTTTGTTTGTTTTTCAGATGGATAATGTGAGTTCCACTTGACCTGCTGGCCTTAGTTTGGAGTGATGTCATTAGTGACCAAGCCACTGTGGGATTTGGTTTGACTGTAGCCCTCAGAAAAATTAAACCCAAGACAGCTACTATGGCTAGTTATAAAATTTGGCTCTGGTATTCCTAGTAGCTGAGGCAAAGAGAGGAACTGGATGATTTCCCAGTTTATATTGTCTGATAAAGTATGTATTAACAGTAGATATATTTTGTTTCCCCAGTCTTGGAAGGAATCTGCTAAAGAGGTCTTTATGTGCATAGGTAACATCTTTGTTAGCGTTGTATGTAAGCTGGAGAGAAGATCCCAGTGTAGATCTCCTTTCCCTCTATTGCCCTGATTGAGGACAAAGTTGAGAGGAAGTAAGAGTGAAAGATGGGAAGACATGGAGAAATAGA